GAGTAAACACTGTAAATCATCATGTAACATTTACGATGATTAAAAAATCATAGAAAGTTATTCTTATCTTCATTATTTCTACCCTATTTTTCACAAAAATTAATTTAGTTGTTTAAGGAAGACTTGTACCAGACTTATAAAATTTAGAAGGATGTCTGTGGGATATGCTTTTGTTTTGAAATCTTTTTGAGTGAAAAATTTGAAACATATAAAGTTAGAACAGTATTCTGAAAATCCACACATACCTCACTCAGATTCCACATTTATCAATACATGTCAGTCTTCTTTCACTTACATCTTCATTTCAGTATCCTCACAACCAACTGGATTATTATGAAACAAACTGCAAAATCATATTATTTCATCACAGATAACTTCAATATTTTTTTCTGAAAGAGAAGGGCCACGTATTTGCTGTATTAGGAGCTCTGGTAGCATAGTGGTTATGAATCGGGCTGTGAACCGCAAAATCAGCAGTTCGAAACTACCAGGCTGTTCCATGGGAGAAAGATGCAGCTTTCTGCTCCCGTAAAAATTTATAGCCTCGGAAACCCTGCACAGGGTCGCTATGAATCGGAACCGACTCCACGGCACATGACAACAACAACAATTTGCTATATTACAGTAATTAACCTCTTGGCTTTTCAGTTTTCTTACCTTGACTCAATGGAACCTTTTTCAGTTAGCTCCTGAGTTATTTGATCACAACTGCAGTAGTTTTTGCTTTCTGGTATTGTAAGATGTTTAGGTTCACCTTGTACATTCATGCGCCAAATCTTGAATTATTAGTTCTCCTAGGACTCAAGACTCCTTTCCATGAGGAGTGGTATTGAAAGGAAAAAGTTCCAACCTACTGTCGTGAATAGGTTACTCATGAATGGGTTACTCATGATAGTAGGTTGGAACTTTTTTCTTCAAACTCACCAACTGCAAACCCTATCCAGGGTCACTATGAGTCAGAACCAATTCTATGGCACTTCCCAACAACAACAGTCTTTTTTAGTGGACATTAGCTAGCAAACTAAAAAAAAAAAAAATAAAGTATATCACATGTATTTCATGTTAATATTTCTATTAATATTAATCACATTAGTATTTCTAATTTAAACTTAAGCTTGTTGGGCTTTTGCTTAGTTATGTTTCTTAAATGCTGAAAATCCTGGTATATCTATATATTTCTAATGATATTTTTGAAAAGTTTAAGTATTTTGTTCATTCATTTGTTTTGGCCTTGGTCTCCTGGTATGGCTCTGTAGAATAAGCACTGGACTGGTAACCACATGGTCTGCGGTTCAAACCTACCAGTTGTTCCTTGGAAACTCTATATAGGGTTACTATCAGTCGGAAAGGACTCAACAGCATTTAACAACAGCATTTATCCCCCTAGGTATGGATGGTAAATGTACTGTGTTTTGAAATTTTAAAGTCATTTTAAGTAAATTTGCTCTGTGAAGTTAAAGCAGAAACTCAATAACCAGTTAGGTTCATGTGTTAAAATTTCTTTTTATCTTTAGGTGTTGCTTTAAAGTTTTTCTATTTTAATTATGCTTTATCATTATTTAAAATACCTCTATTATTCTAAGTGAAAAACCTATAAAACAAAGTGCATACAGATTGCCTAGCTTCTATCTTTTTGCCCACCTAATTTCTCCCTTCCTATAATGTGTAACCATTTTAGTTTTTAATTTATCCTTTTCTTAAATGCCCACTATAAGAGACTATGTATATAGTTTTGAATTCTCCTTGTTTCATAGGTAAATGATAGCATAAATATAGACTGTCTTCACCACCTTATTTTTTCTGTTCATACTTTTTTTTATCCTTGACTTTCTCTTTACTCTACAGTTCATAGTGTGGCACTGGGTGAACATACAGTTTGATGATGGACACTTGTGTTGATTTCAATCTTTTGCAATTACAAGTAATTACAAGTAATGAATGGCTTTATGGATATGCTGCTGGTTTGTGTGTGTGTGTGTGTTTAGTTTCACCAAAGAATCTAGCAGGTTAAAGATAAAACCATGTATAATTTTGCCTGTTGTTGTTGTTAAGGACCATCGAGTCGATTCCAACCCATAGCGACCCTTTATAGGGTTTCTGAGGAGCAGCTGGTGAGCTTGAACCACCGACCTTGCAGTTCAAACGGCTTTGCAGTCTGGCGCATTAACCCACAGCACCAGTACTCCACGGGTTTTTTTGTTTTGTTTTGTTTTTAATTTGCGTTTTTTGGATAGATTTTTTTCTTTTAAGGATATCTGACAAGACATAGGAAAAACCTAGTTTTCTGATGATTTTTTTAAGAGACCAATACAGGGATGCCCCTTTTTTGTTTGTTGTCTTCTGCCCTCTCTTTGTTATTGTTTCTTCAGAGTAAGTAGAGACCTCAGAGATGAAGTTCTTGGTCACTTTGTTTCTCAGAGGGAAGCTGTGAGGATCAGTTGAGTTTCCTATCAGTTCTGCTCCCCTCCATCCCACTTCTGTTCTGACAACAGGTGCACACGCAAAACTCCCTCCTCTGCCCTTCACCACCACAACTGGAAGGACCTCACAAGCACTGTGATTCAAACTGTCATGGCAATGTACAAGTGCTTATCCTACAGCTACACATCACAGAAAGCATTATACTTACTATTACCATTTCATTATGGCAAAAAGGATACAAATGAAGGTGAGGCCAGGGAGGGCTCTAAACAGGGAAATGCTAGTGTGGCACTGTAGGATAAGCACTGGACTGCTAACCACAAGGTCAGCAGCTCAAACCCACCAGCTGCTCCTCAGAAACCCTGTACAGGGTTGCTATGAGTCGGAACCAACTTGATGGTGGTAGTGGTGGTGTGCCATGGAGTCGGTTCTAACTCATAGTAACCATGGACAGGGTTTCCAAGGCTGTAAATCTTTACTGGAGCAGAATGCCTTCATCTTTCTCCGTCGGAACAGCTGGTACTTTATAACTGCTGACCTTGTGTTTCGCAGCCCGATTCGTAACCACTATGCTACCAGAACTCTTCAGAACCAACTTTATGACACTAAAAAAAAAAAAAAAAAAAAAGTTCCATGTGCACCCATGTCTGTCATGCACCAGATTTTGTCAGGCATGACTGATCAAGTCATCCTCCTTGCCCGTTGCCTGAGACTGGTTGATACCATGTGCTGGGTGTTTCTGGCCTTACCAGCCCCCTCCTGAGTCACCTTTATTAGCATAAACCTTCAGGTGTGTCTGGAGGCTTCTCCAAGCCCTTCAATCACGGGAAATGCAAGGTTTTAGAGGCTTTCTCAGGAACTGGTCTCAAAAACCAAATTGCTTGGGTTAAGTAGATTTCTCACTATACAGAAGCTTTCTTAAACTGCTAACTCATAGTACCTCTTGATTCAATTCCATCCATCCTTACTGAGCATTTACTATGGACAAAGGAATATGTGTTGGTGAAGTACATAGAAAAATCAACACAATCACTTGCCTCCTGTTCACAGTCTGAGCAGGAAGACAGAGGTCACTGGGAAGGCTTCCTAGGGACAGTGGGTTTGTATTGGCCTTGACCAAAGGCTCAGACCTTGAGTCTTTAGGTCTGCATGGCTGTTCTAAGAGTATAAGCAAGCCTCCAATGTGTCACAAAATATACCTGTCTTTAAACTGCATAAATCAAGCTTTAAATCTGTAATTTTCAGTTTTTTCTTTTGAGTGTTTATATGTTAGGAACCCTTAAAGCTTTGGTTTGCTTGATGAGAATTTTGAGATACACCGTCCTGCATTTGACTCCCAACCACAAAGCAGAGTGGTCTGGTGCGCACCCCTTTATAATGTGGACCCGCATGTGACCCAGAAAAAGCCTGGTAATGCAATGGTTAAGCACTCAGTGACTAACCAAAAGGTTGGCACTTCAAACCCACCCAGTGACTCTGCAAGAGAAAAACCTGGAGATTTACTCCGGAAAGATTTGTTAGTCAATTCTGATTCGTAACAACCCTGTATAGGGTTTCCAAGAAGCAGCTGGTGGGTTTGAACCACTGACCTCTCAGCTAACAGCCCAGTGCTTTTCTTCACACCAGGACTACAGCCTAGAACACTCTATGAGATGGTTCCACTCTGTCTCATGGGGTCACTCTGAACCGATAATCGACCCAATAACATCCAATAACAACCTGAGCCCAAAGAATGCCAGGGATTTCGATGACCCTGAAAACAGAGAAAAAACGGGCAAGGCCATGGGTTCTGGGGTGGGGGTTGATGGGAGCTTTCTGTGATGGCTGATAGATGCATTAGTTCAGGTTAAGTGTGTGAGCAGGGGCACAATGGTTAGATCTCTTATGCTTTGATTGGTCGCCTCTCTCTTGCTCTTCCTGACATGGAAGAGTTGAGCTATTTTATTTTTCATCTTGCTTGGGAGTGAGGCTAAAATAGAATTTGTACACAATAGGACCTTGGATGTCAAAGCAAAAATGAGCCCCTCAGGAGGGATCTTCTCATTTATAAATGAAGAAATAGAAGCCCAGAGAATCTCACATCTCTTGTACTTCTCTCTTAGCCCAGAGAGAAGCCCAGGTCTTTATTCCTCCCTCCTTTTTCTGAGCAGTCTGGTGTGCAGAGAGAGCTGGAGCGATTCCTTCTGAGGCTTTAGGGGCTAACATACAAATCAACATTCAGAAGCCTGTTTTGACTTTAAAAAAATTTTTTTTATAAATGAGTTTTAAATATAGCATAATGGCCAATGAAAATAGATCTTCAGATTTCAAACTTGACATGTTCATCAATTCTATTCTTCATTTGGGATTACAAGGGTATATTGTCATTTTATTGCAAATTGAACATAACCAGTTTTACAATGCAGCCAGCAGTTTAGTAAGCCCACTTTAAATTTCAAAGGTTTGTCTGGAATGAACTTGGGGTTGTGTGTATATAACTATTTTCAACGATGTGTTCCAACTGATTTGAATGGATTATGGACAGTTCCCTTGGTGGTCTCAAACTGTAAATTTATAGTCTGAGTTTGTTTCCCTTTTAGGACCAAATCTTTATGGAAAACATAGGTGCAGTGAAGCAGCTCTGCAAACTAACCAACAACCTTGAAGAAAGAATAGAAGAGCTAGAAATATGGAACAGAAAGCTGGCCAGGCTAAAGCGGCTCAGTAGTTTAAAGTCCTCAGCCAGTGAAGCAAGCTCAATCAGGTATACACTGGATTGTCATAAAATTTGGGAAAGGGAGAAAGTGGAATCTAGATCAATCAAAGTGATCTTTCTGGTAAAGAAGCACCCCTTACTTTCTCATAATGGACTTCTTATTCCCCTCTTAGAATGTTTTGGAACACAGTTGCCTTCCATGATAACTTTCCTTTTTTTGTTCACCAGCTTCTCAAAACAAAACATGAGGTGTCTGCTTAATAGCAATCGTTAAGAAATTGCTAAATTTTAGCAGAAGGGTGGTTTCTCCTTTAACAAGGAGAAATGACCATTTCTAAATTTAGGAAACCATGTTTAGTTCTCAGAGACAACAACATGATTTAAAAAAAAAAAAAATTACTACTTAAGGAGGTAAATGCACATTTCCTGGGGTTTCATTGTGAAAAAAAGATAAATGTTATGTTCAGTGCATTCATTTTTGTTTACTAGAGTTCTTTTCCACAAAAGGAACTGTCAATTGCCTGAATTTTTCCTTTTTAAAGTGCCACCACTATAATGCAGAAGAAAGCCACAATGCTGCCTTAGTGACAGCTTGGAGCAGCATCACATAATGCCTGAAGAGGCATTTGAATTGTAATCAATTTTCTCTCTCTTTTTAAAAAGCAAATTGAGCAGAGCTGCTAGTGCATCTTCTCCAAGAAGAACCGTTCCCAAAAAGCCCAACAAGGTAAGTAGACTTAAGTTTATGATAAACACAGATGTTATATATAT